CACTCTTTCTATTAGACCTAACACTGAATTTTTTTAAATGATATGTACTCTTGTAAAAAAAAAAAAAAAGAAAATCTTATTCCGAGCCTCAGATGACCAAACCAGCCTTCAGAGCGTCCTCTGTCCTACTTCGGCTTTACTTGTGGTATGACCATGTTCGCTAAAAAAAATCTTGTAAAAAAAAGGCAAGACAACAATAAAATGATCTGTACTATTTCTCTTTTAGTGGCTTGCTTTCTTGAATTCCAATGCTACTCAAAACTATGAAAAAAGCCAGCATTACCGTCATGAATACTTGCTGCCTCTAGAGGTGTAAACACTTCAAAATCTAGCTTTTAGGTAGCTCAGAAATTCCTACCTTCCCTTTGCCTTCACTGACTTCTCTTACAACTTATAAAATATCATTGCATCACATACTGTTTCTGTTCTCATCACATGACTATCTTGTCAAAGTAATTACATGGTTTTACAGGATTGGGGGTAGGGGAGGCTATCTTTAAAAAATGCACTAGAAAGCCAACTTCACCATTTTTTTAAGGGTTTTGCCATACGGCATGTGCACTTGTCAGAGAGAAAGAAATGGTGAGAGGGAAAGTGAGAAATCACTCCCAGGGGAGATGGCCATGCTATAATCCCTTCTCCTCCATTCTTCTCCTGGGACTTTGGGTGCACACACACATGCTCCCAGCATGAGTATCAAGCCTGCGGATCCAGGACTTGAACCAGAGCTGCCGGATCTGGGATTCAAAACACACTTGGCCATATGTAAGTCCAGCACTACACCACCTGTTGGCCCCCAATTCCACAAATTTAACAAGTCATAAGGCCTTAGATTTTGCACGTTCAATGGATTGGATTGTTTTAGAAAATCTCTTCTGCAAAACTAACTACGTGATAAACTAAAGAGCATCCTGACCCAAAGTTTGGTCAATGATACAAAGATAGTATATAAGAAGTTGTCTGGATGGGACTGCTGGGCCTGAAGCTCATTCACTCCAGGCATCTGGAGAGTGGATGGTAGATGTTCATCTGGCCCCATGCACAGGAGAACTGGATCCTGTTGCTCTAAGTTCAACCTGCCTACAGGACTCCCCAGGTCAGGTACCACTCCATTTCCATCATCTTCCACCCACTGTAAGTAATCTCTTTCTTCTGTCCTCATCAACCTCATCACTTGGAGACATTTCAGAGACTTTGATTTCACAGCAGTTTAATCAGTTTGCCAAATAATCACAGAATCGCTTTAGGACTTTAGGATAGGAAACAGACGAATTGCAGAGTTTTGTGCTTTGTTGTGTTTTGTTTTGTACTTGGTGTCTCTGCTCCTTCTTGGAAGTGTTGATTTCACAGAGGTGACTTTCTGGGTATTTCATGGTGGCAGCTACATGTAATTTCCCTTTGTACATTTGCCAGATACCAAAATCTCAGGAGAGTGGGGAGAAAGAAAAGAAACAGTAGGAAACTGATAAGTTCCCAATATAAAACTTCAGTTATTGGGGCCAACAGGTAGCATAGTGGTTAAGGCTCTGGACTTCCATATGGCCACGTGATTTGAGTCTTGGACCTGGTGGCTTGCTTCCTCACTTTCTCTGTCTCTCTCTGGTGAATGTATGTGCCCTGCAGCAAAACTTTAAAATAATAATAATAATAAATTAAATAAATAAGTCTTTAAAAACAAGTTTAGGGCTATTTGTGTTTGTTGGGGGTAAAGCATACTGACACTGTCCTGCATAATTATGTATTTAAGAATTATTATAAAATGCACTGATCATATATCAGAAAGTAATCTAGACCCTTCACAGTACTTCTGTGAGGTCATTAACATTGATCATTTTATACATGAGAACACTGAGGCTCAAAGAGGTAAAGGAATTTATTCTAGGTCATTCAGCAGAGAAAGGGAAAATTGAAGTTTTCCCAGACTTTTGTTAGATACCAAACCCTATCTCCCGACTAGGTAAACTTGCAAGAACCACCTATGGAAACATTAGCTACCTTCTTTCATACATATGTGAATATGTAGCCTACATCAGATTAATGCTCAAGTTCAATTCACTGTTCTGTGAGGTTGATTCAGTTACTTCTCACAGAGATCATGTGCTTTATTTCTTTGTCCTCTAACCACAGTTCCTTAGAGCTTTTTATGCAACGAGGGCTCAGTAATTGTTAATTAAGGGAACCAATCCAAACTTTTTTTTTAATCATCTTGCTAAATTTGCAGCTAAGTGTCCATAATGCCTTCTTATTGTATGCTGGTTTTTCAAATGTGCTTTTCAATGATTTGTCAATAATGGGAATCAATATAACACAGGATTTAAGAAAATAAGTTAGATTCAAACAGACTGGGTTCAAGTTTTGGCTCCACCCCTTAGCAGTTTTATGGCCCTGAATAAACCATTTAAATACTCCCCAACCAAGCACCAGGTCTCTCATGAAATGAAGATGATCACAATTCCCACTTCAGAGTTCCTGTGAGGATAAAATGGGATAACTCTTGTCAAACACTTAACATAAAGTACACGCTCACTAACATTCAATGATTACAATAATAAATACAAAAATAGCTAGCAATTATGACACTTCATTATATGCCAGATACTATGCTGTGCCTTTACAAGCATGTCCCATTTACTCCTTATAGCAATCCTAGTGTCAACAAAACACTCTGACAACATCAGGAGCCACCTCAGGAACTTTAAGAACAAGAAGTCAACGCCTCTTCACGTTAGGTGTTCCCAATTATAATTACCAAATTATACTAACCATAATCATCTAGCTAAAGGAGGGAGTTATTTTCAAGGCATGGATGACCTCTTCCCTGAGGACCTAATTAGCCAGTGGAATCTAATGGAAAGCAGAGAAAGTACTACTTTGAAAAACTGGCAGGTTGCCATGAAGTGAGGTGGAAGGCTAAGCAAAAAGCTTTATCTGCCCTTTGAATTAGTTTCTACCCCCCCTAAACTTCCATGTACACTATACCTCTACTTGGGCATTAATTCTTGCATATTTATTTATTAAAAACTTATAACATGCCACCACCCTATGGTGATAAAAATAACATGGTTATAAATGGTCAAATAAGTGATGCCTCATTTTCACCATTTATATTTCTTTACTTTTCCCCAAAAATGGCATAATCCAAAATAGTCTTACTAGAGCTCCTCAGTCAAGTCCTCTTTGGTTTGTCTGCTATGTTTTAGAAAGCAAATACTGATGAGAAGGAGAGAGAAGTCACCTCAGTCAACCAACCAACAGAAACCAAGTCTCTAAGGGGTTTTATCAACACTGAGACCAATGTTTCAACTCTCCTTTTTTTTTTTTTTTTGAGAGGTTTTCGCTATAGGGCGCGTGCGCTCACCAGACAGACAGAGAGAGACATAGAGACAGAAAGCGAGAAATCACCCCCCAGGGGGGATGGTCACGCCGCAATCCCTTCT